CTTTCCAGATACCCCTTCCCCAAAGAGAGGAGTCCCCCATACTCTTATAAAGCATTATCGAGGCCGGGCGCGGTGGCTCATGCCTGTAATCCCAGCACTTTGGGAGGCCAAGGCAGGCAGATCACGAGGTCAGGAGATGGAGACCATCCTGGCTAACACGGTGAAACCCCGTCTCTACGAAAAATACAAAAAATTAGGCGGGCGTGGTGGTGGGCGCCTGTAATCCCAGCTACTCGAGAGGCTAAGGCAGGAGAATGGTGTGAACCCAGTAGGTGGCGCTTGCAGTGAGCTGAGATCGCTCCACTGCACTCCAGCCTGGGCGACAGAGTGAGACTCCGTCTCAAAACAAACAAACAAACAAAATTATCGAAATCTCTAGCAACAATAGAAATAATGTTGCTACTGTCTGCCTCTTTTGCCCTACCCTTTGCACAAACCCCTCCTGGCAGGTGGGTACCCCGTCTCAGGAGCCCAGACATCTGCATGCAGCAAATGCTCCCCAGATAGGTCTTTTCCCATCTCCTGCTAGGCTGGCTGTAGGGTTCAGGTCCCAACATGGGTTTCCCAACAGCAATCTAAAGTGTGTACTTCTATCAGCAGTGAGAGAGAAATGAATTGTTCTCAAGGGCGTTTTTTTTTAAGGACAGTTTTTCAGTGGGATCCTTGCTGCTTTGAACTCTTCTGGTGCTTCTGTTTTATAGTTATTGATTTTGGAGATCATAAAAGTAATGCAGGTTATAAGAATGTGGGAACATTTTAGAAATGTGTAACTTGGAGAGTAGGAGCGTCCATGCTTCACAAAGAACTGCTGCCAGTGCCTGGCGTAGATGCTTTCTTCTTGGTTGCTCCTTGGCGTTTTGTCTCTTATCTCCAAAGAGGGGAGCCAGTGTCAGCTACTTGTCCAGCACCTGCTGGGGGGCAGTGTTTGCTGTTACTTGACTTTAGTGGGGGGGGGCCCGCTTCCAGGGACATGTCTTCTGAGGGCAGCAGCAGTCCCCTGAGACACAGCAGCATGTAGTGGGGAAAGTTTGGGTGCTGCCATCTGGAACCTAAGAGAACTGGGGCTGATCCTCAGTCTTCCTCATCTGTGCAGTGGGCATACTGAGAACAACTCTGTTTTGGAGGGAGATTGGGACTAAACAGCGAGATCCTGGGTGGGAACACACTGTACACTCTAAATTCTACGTATTATCCTTTAATTTTGAAAAATTGTTGTTACCACCAAATAGGCCCCTTGGGCTTCTGAGCCAGTAGACTCAAGATTTAGTCCAAAGGGTTAGAATTTTATTATCTTCATTATTTATACACACACACAACAGTCTGATGACAGGAGCTGCTGTGAGCTTTGCACATGGATGTGGGCAGGTCTTGCTGCGATCTCCTTCCGGGAGCATGGGTCTGGAAGTGGCTGACACACGTGTCTAGGGCCCTCCAGATCCACTGCAAGAGCAGAGAGTAAACTAAAGCAGCATGAGCCACATGTCCCCACGGCCAGTCTGTGAACAGCATGGTTTGCTTTCCTCTTGGAAAGTGGGGTGTTCCCCCTCCTGTCCAAGTGTGGTGGGAATACTGATACCATCGGCCCCGCTCCCTTTCTCCCCACTGCATTGTCCTGCCTGGATGGCAGAGGGAACACCGTTCTCTTGGGTCTTCAGGGTGTCAGAGATATGGGCACTGTGGAAGGCAGGGACAGGTGAAATTGGGTGTGTGAATGGGAAGCTGGGGAGAGGTGTGCTCTGGCAGAAAGGGAGGCTGAAAAGAAGAGGCCCAGAACAGAACCCACCCATCCCCCAGCCCGCTGAAGCTGTGTTTCTCCCATGGCCGTGCCTTCAAATTCACTCTCTCCCAGGCCAGACCAGCTGCAGTGGCTGGACTGTCCCATGCCTCCGCCTCTCTCAGGTCCAGAGCCATCCAGCTCCTAACATGATACCGGGCCTAGGTGGCAGAGGAAGCAGCACTGCCTTGAGAGGAGCATGGGTTGGGGGACTTCTCTGGGACCAAGGGACCCCGCCTTGTCATGGTGCTTATTCTATTTCAAACTCTGTGCAGGTTTCTGCCCTGGCGCAGCCTGTGTGAAGGTGGGAGAGCAGAGGCCCTGGGAGCTGGGGTGTTGCTGTCAGATTTGCTTCCTCTCTTGGGACTCTACTCCCCAGGCTTTGGTTACCTGAGTGTTTTGGTTCTTCTCCGGCCTCTCTGACGCACCGTAGGGTTTCCTTCCTTCTGGAAAGGCGATGAGGCTCCCCTGGTTTTTGGAGGCTGCCATCTGTGCTCCAGCCCCAGCTCTGCCTCTTCTTTGTAATGTGGAACAAGTTATGTAACCTCTTCCGTGCTTTAATTTCCCATCTGTAAAGTGACAGTGGTGATAACAGGACCCACTTCATTAGGCTGATAATTAGTTCATAGATACAAGATGCTCAGATCAGCACCCAACGCTCTGAAGTGCTATCCTGTGTGTTAGCTGTTAATACTTTAGCCCCTCTGAAAGTAGTGCTGTTAGCTCCTCTCATTTTATCCACCCAGCACAGGTGCACACACGAGAATAATTTAGTCCTTTACCCCATCTTCATTTTCAGAGAGGTCACGTTCACTCGGAGGGCCCCAGCCATTACTAATTTCCAGAGGACTTTGATTTTCATATCCTAAAATGTTTTCTTCTTGGCGTAAAAGAAATGCCCACATATGGAATGAAAATTTTAAAGACATATCAATGAAAAGATAAAGAAATTTTAAAAATCACTGGGTAATACCTTTGCCCAGAGATGATAATTGATGTAGCCTTTCCCAGTTTTTATACATAAGTGTGGTGGGTGAATATAGCACCCAGTATAACCCCAGTTTGGCTTAAAAAGGGATAAAATGCATATAATACTGTTGTTTATATTCTGCTTTTGTTACCAAATATTATCAACATTTCTCACTGTCCTTAAATATTATTTGAAAATGACCAAATTTCTGTCTTTAGATAGAAATTTCTTTTCCCAGCTCAAAACTGCATGTCTGTCTGCCCGTGGAGGTTGCCCCTTCAGCATCTCAGATGCGATGTGGCCAGGCCCCGGCACTGGGTCTCACGAGCTGCCTCCTCTGCATCTTCCCCATCCCTCGCCCCTCCCCCAAGTCTGCTGTTCCCTCCTTCCGTCCCACAGCTCCTCCTCCCTGCCCCGCTCCCAGGATCTCTTAGTTGTGGGGTTCTGTAGTATCTCTGTGGTGTCTCCAGCGGTCATCCTCACTTTACCCATATCACCACAACTCTACTTCCTTTCCTCATCACCTCTCACTTTGACTCTGATGTTAGCATTACCTTTTTTCACATGCAATCCATATTTATTATAGAACATAATACCCGAACCTTCTCCCTGGCTTTCCTCGCTGCTGGCCTTGCTGGCTGCAGCCCATTCTGCCACACTTCTGCCCAAGGAAGCTTCCTGAGCACAGCCCATCCTGCCCTGTGACCTTCGATGTTAACTGTGTCCCCGCAGCTCTGCTGTGACCTGGCTGATGTACTACAGGTGCTTCCATCTGCCTGCCCGGGCACCTCTCTACTGTCTCCTGGACTCTGTTCCAGCCAGACTGTGACCTGATGGTGCACCTGTCTCAGCAGCTCTCTCAGGCTGCTGCCATTGCTCAGAACTCTGTCACCCCTTCCCCGCTGCTGGGAGTTCTGCCATCCTAAAGGTCCATCTCCCGTGTACATCCTCCTGGCAAGTTTCCTATCTCCAGATGGGCATGCTTTTTCCAGCCCTCGAAGCACCTCCACTTGGCTTGTCCTTCCCTTGAGGTATTTCACCTACCCTAGTTATCTCTGGGCCTTGGATGGGCAGCTAGAAGAGCAAGGGTCTGGAGAGAGACCGACCTTGTTTGAGTCCCAGCTTAAACTACCTTCTATCTATATGACCTTGGGGAAGCTACGTCCTCTCCGAGACTCAAGTTTTCTCATCTGGAAAGTGGAAGCTGATACTAGACCATGAATTAGGTTCAGTTTTGGGGAGGATTCAAAGGATAAAATGTCTAGGTTTAGCAGTTTCTGGAACATGATGAGAATTCAAAAGCAGCAGTGTAGGCTGGGCGTGGTGGCTCACACCTTTAATCCCAGCACTTTGGGAGGCTGAGGCGGGTGGATCACCTGAGGTCAGGAGTCCAGGATCACTCTGGCCAACATAGTGAAACCCCATCTCTAGTAAAAATACAAAAATTAGCTGGGTATGGTGGTGGGCGCCTGTAGTCCCAGCAACTCGGGAGGCTGAGGCGGGAGAATCACTTGAACCTGGGAAGCGGAGGTTGCAGTGAGCTGAGATGACACCATTGCACTCCAGTCTGGGTAACAAGAGCCAAACTGTCTCAAAACCAAAAAGCAGCAGTTTTATAATTAGTACCCAGTCTTCCCGTGTCTGCCTCCTTGGGGTGTCCATGGAACCTAGCCTGTTCTTTGGTGATGCTAAAGACTGAGTCCAGGAGAATTGACTTGAACAGAACGTAGGTCTGAGACCCTTGACCTGGCGGGAGATGAGGGTCATTGACAGCCCTGGTTCCCTATGATTTGCAAGACAGTCCGGCTACCTTGGGTTTGACAACTGAGGTAACTCCCCAGTTATCTCCTCCTCTGGAAGCCAGGTGCTTCCTTTGGAAGCTGGCCATCCCATGCCCGGGTCCTCAGGGGACATTGTTTGAAAGGGAATTTTAGGGCAAATCCGCTGAAGCTCAGGCAGCAGCTGAGAAACACACCAGATTCCCTTGACCCTTATCTGTCAAGGAAAGTCTGTTGGTGACCACCTAATATGTGGGGTAGGGTTGGTTATGGGCAGGATCTGGCATAAACAGGTAAAGTTGTAAGAGAAACATTTAGGTATCACCAAATTCCTCCCTTGCATTGTAGCAGGGCTGCACCTAAGAGCTGCTCCTAAAGGTTGAGCCACCACCTTGTCTTTTCCCCCATTTGGATTAGGAGCTTTTGAGCACCAGTACCCTCTCCCCAATAACAGTCTTTGCTGATTCTTCTCTTGCAGCCAGGCGGCACTCCAGGGTCCGGCCCAAGGTGACTGTCCTGAACTATGCTTCCCCGATAACCGCAGTCAGCCGGCCACTGAATGAGATGGTCTTGACCCCACTGACGGAGCAGGAGGGGGAAGCCTACCTGGAGAAGTGTGGCAGCGTGCGGCGGCACACGGTGGCCAATGCCCACTCGGACATCCAGCTGCTGGCCATGGCCACCATGATGCACTCAGGCCTGGGGGAGGAGGCTAGCAGTGAGGACAAGTGCCTTCTCCTGCCACCCAGCTTCCCCCCACCCCACCGGCAGTGCTCCAGCGAGCCCAACATCACCGATAGCCCTGACGGACTGGAGGAGGGGGCCGGGGGCAGCCAGGAGGGCTCAGAGCTGAACTGTGCTTCCCTCAGCTGAGTCGCCACCCCCAGGCCTTTCCACCTCCTGTTATGCAACCAGGATGAGGACACCTCCATCTCCATGGATTACTGAGGGGCCTCTTGCTTTATGCAATGCTGCCTTATTTCTTTTAGGGTACTGTCCTGGTCAAAATGCCTTAAGGGGAAACCGTTGTTGTAAACCTCTTCATTTTGGTGACTGTGACCAGTTCTTTGTAGCCACCAATTGTAGTGACCAATTGCCTAATGGTCACTTTCTGACTCCAGCCTTGCCAGCCTGACTCAGATCCTCATCTCTGGGCCTTTCCTCCTCCGATGTTGGACTGCCTAATGTTCCCAATGACATATCCAGTACTCCTGGCATTTCTGGAGCAGGAGGTTGTCAGGACCACACGTACAACCACCAAGGATGTGTTGGCCTTTGGAGTTCCCCTTTAGGTTCCTTGTGATGCGGTGGGTTATGAGTGAAAAATTAGTGAAGAGGGAACTCCTCTCCCCCATTTTGTGTAGAGTGAAAATAGCCTGCAGCCCCTACTCAGCAGGGCTCTGGGAATGTGCCTGCCTTATTTTAGTTTCAGAATTGCTGGGAAAGTTACCCCTCTGGTGGGTGAGGATCTGTCCTCACCTACATCCATATCCTATGTGCTGCTTGCACAGAGGCCTTTGGCTTTTGACCCAGAGGGGCTGTGAGGCTGGAGCTGCCCTGTCTTTCATTGAGCCTCAGCATTTCCCTCTTTGGCTTCCTCTCAAGCTCAAGGAACTCACCCCCAGATGCCTCTTGTCTCTCTCATTTCAGAAACGGACTTTCTTATCATGCTTTCCTATGGTGGGTGTGAGGGGCCAGCTGATACCAACCAACTAGCCTGTACCTGGATTTGACTTGAATTTTTAAAATGTGTGTTGTTTCAAAAAAAAAGTTTGCAAATTTTGTACGTGGGATCTTGCACTGTTCATTTCCACTGGGGTGAATCTTCACACTAAAATCACAAGCAGAGCTCCTGGGAAAAGAGACTGGAAGTGGTTCAGGATAAAGAGATCTATGGTGCACAGAGCTCTTATGTCACAGAGCTCTAGAAGCAGCTGGACTTGAATCCACAGTGGCCTGTGTAAATTTGCGAATTTCGTGGTTTCTGGAAAAAGCTGCATTGGGGTGGGGAGACCCAGTTTGCCTCATGGGCAGAGGGTTCTTCCAGGAAGCATGGAAAATGGAATGTTTCTATGCTTTACAACGCGGGGAGAGAGGGGAGATGTAGGCAGGACCTTTTGGAAGGATGTTTATTCCCTGTGGTTAAAGAAATGCCCGGAATTTCTAACACGTGAAGCACTTGGGGGCTGCAGGCCATGGCACGGTGCTGCATCCTTCTACTGCTCCCTCCAGGTCTGGGGGCTTTTATCCACCTTGAATTCCTATCCTCCTCTTTGTAGTTGTCTGTCTCACTGATAACAGCTCCAGGAAAAAAGACAAGGCTCCTCCTCTGACCCTTCCTGTTGATGTTTATGAAATCTCAAAGAGATGAGCCACCTTGGCTTCCAATATGGCAAGAGGGTGCTGGGAGAAGGTGAAGATCAGTCTAAGCTGCCGTGGGGATGAGACCTTCTCATTTAACTCTTGATGGCATTTCCCTTCTGGCTGAAGATTTGAAATATCAGAATTGTGCTCTTGATGGCTGGGAATTTAGAAATTTAGGAGTTATTTCATTTTCATTCTAAGAATGATGGGAGAGAAATGTCCAAAAGAGATCTGCTGGTCGGCTGAGAATTTCAAACAAAAAAAAAATCATCTCTGTGTGTGTGTTGGATAAAGTCTACAGATTGACTAACATGCATTAGCAAATGGAACATCAGTAGGTAGCAACATGATGATTTATGTAACTGATAGCTTCTGTCCTTATTAGTACACTTAACATTTGAGACTAGTATTTATTGATCCAGGCAAATTAATTAATCATGCTTGGGCTTACTTTTTCAGTTTGTAAGGTTAATCACATGTGCATGCGTGCGTGTGTATATAAATGCCTTTTCCATGTCTTAAATGTCCCTGATGAGGAGAGCAGTCATCAATTAAATATATAAGCTCTTAAAATGAGAATGGGGGTGTCAGACCCAGTATACTTAATTGCTGATGACTGTTATCCAGTTTACAACTTTACCATCGATGTACACACTTGATATTTGTGCAGTAAATAGACCTTACCTATAAAAATTTTATTGATGTTTATGATCATGTTAGCTATCAGAGGGCTATTGGAAGAGTGATAGCTGAGGTGTTTTTAACCACTTTTTCTCTCCTAGATTCGTTTTCATTATTTATGCTAGGATTTTCCTATGGTTGACATTTGATGACAGGAAGCAATCATGACTCTTCGAGTGAGCTCACAGAAACCTTTCATGTCGTCTGTTTCCAAAACGAATTCAATAAACAACATTTTGTCCTTGCTGGGTGCCCCAAGGGTGTCTTGATTGAATTTGCAAGTATAGCAGTCAAAGTAGATCTTTTTTTTCCCCTCAAATTAGATCTTGATGCATCCTTCCCTCAAACTCCCTGTCCCCACTTCTGCCTCCTCATCTCTTTTCCTGTTGCCTCCACTCCACAGTTGGACAGCAGCCTTAGTTCAGCCAGTCTTCCCTGGGTTTTGTTTGCAATCCTGGACTGGATTGGCAACTCATTTCCTGGAGAAACAGATTGTGGAGCTAGAAAATACTGAAAATAGTCTGAGAAGCCAACACTTTTTCTAAAACCAGCTTGGCCTTTCTTCCCAGAGTATTTGACCTAGAGGGAACACTTAGCATATGTACTCATGGATGATCTCATACATTCCCCTCTGATTCTGTTTGGCAGAGGACATTTATAATATTTTACTCTGCATAAATACTTCTAGGAGGCCTATAACGGCAACAGTCTGAGATCTCTAAAGGCTTGATAAGAGCCTTTGAGGAGGTGTGACTGATTAGTCATCTGTAGGATGAAAAAGCAGAGTGTGTATGTTTTGGTTGAGCCTTTGTAACTATGGTAAACAACCACTGAGCATTCTGTCTCAGTAGGTTTCATGTCATTAGTGTGCCCATGACATAGCAGTGCACCATCATATTCATTTATCCACCCATCTACCCATCAAACATTTGTGGAGCTTCCATTGTGTGTAGGCACTTTTCTTGGTACTAGGGATATGGTGATGGACAAATAACCAAGATGCCTTCTCTCATGGAGCTTACTCTAGTGGGGAAGGCTGGAAATCAGGTCAACACAAGCATCACAACTACCAAACAACACTGGGTGAAAGGGCAAAGTGCCAGTGACTGGAGAGTGAAGAAAGGATGACTGTGGGTAGAATGGCCAAAGGAGGTCTCTCTGCAAGTCAACTGACCCAAGAGCTGAGTGACAAGGAGCCAGCGTTATGATCTACTTTGTTTCCGATAACTGCCATAACTACCACAGACTTAGCAGCTCAAAACAACTTATTTATTATTCCAGTTCATCCACTGGAAGTCTGACAAGGATCTCACTGGGCTGAAATCAAGGTGGTGTCAGGGCTGCATTCCTTTCTGGAAGCTTTAAGGGATAATCTGTTTCCTTACCTCTGCCAGCTTTTAGAGGCTGCCCATATTCCTTGGCTTGTGGCTTTCTTCCTCCATCTTCAAAGTGAATGGTGGTTGAGTCCCTTTCACATGGCATCACTCCAAACTACATTCAGCCTCCCTAGGACCCTTGCTGATTACATTGAGCCCATCCAGATAATCCAGGATTATTTCCCAACTCAAAGTCTTTAATCACATCTGCAAAGTCTCTTTTGCCTTGTAGGATACATCGCAGGTACTGTGGATTAGGATGTGGACATCCTTGATGGGGGAGGGGGAGTCATTATTCTGCCCCACAGAATGATGATTACCACATAATCCTTAGTTTTTGCTGCTTCTACTGATTACTCTTTGTAGGTGGCAAGCTCCTGAAAGACCAGCTTAGCTACTCGGGAAACTCCTTGTCTTCTGGCCCAGTGGAATCCGATGGGAAAAGAGAAGGAAAGCAAGATGGACAAAAAGTGTCCACCCCAGGGGCTCAGCCTGCCTTCATGCTAAGGAGCAGTGGTAAGTTGGCTGAAGCTCTTCTGAAAGTCCTTAAATGGCCTTGAGCCCCTCAGCTGGCCAGAGATGCACTGGTGTCCTCCCTGGCATGCTTGCTGTTGTCTCCATCCCTTCTCAGCTGGACTGAAGATTTCTGTGGGTACTGCTCTGCTGCCGCCTCTGCTGAAATCTCTCTCCCAGCGGGAGAAAGGCCAGTCATGGGATGTACCTGGGAGCCTGGTAAGATGAAACTGTAGCATACAAGTGCTGGTCTCAGTGTACAGGGGAGACTAGGTGACATGGCCTGGGGACCTTATAGCCTGACCTCCACCCACCATGGCCTAGACTCCCACAGAGACCACGATTCTGTAGTCCCAGGCTCCAATCTCTAATTGCCTCATTGCCTTCTGTCAGGCCCTCACCATCCCTAGTCTGGACTTGCACAACTTGGTACGTGCTTTCTGTATTTGTGTACAGACTCCATCTCTCCCTTATGGACATTTCCATTTGATCTAAGGTGCAACCCCTGCTTAAAACTTTTCCTTGGCTTTCAATATAATCCATACACCTGAACTTGACTTCAAGGTCCTTCACAAGCCGGCCCCACCTACCTTCCCGGCCTCATTGGCTGCTCTTTGACTCCCTCGAGTTGGAGACCAACTGCTTCACCAGGGCTGTTCATGGTCCCAGGAAGCTGCCTTCCATCTCCATACCCCCTGCCATGCTCCCACTGTTCCCTCTCCCTGGGGGCCTCCCCACCGCTTCTCCAGATAGAAGCAGTCACTTCAACCTCTATACATTCTCAGGGGCTTAATCCAGGAAGGCAAGAATGTGTAGGATTTATATTTGCAGGCTTAGGGCCTCACAATACAGAGAAGCTTCTAAGTCATGTGCATTGAATAAATGAATGGGATGGTATAATTCTGATCTCCACCCCGCCCCTCCCAGGTATGTGCAGAAAGGACGCCACCTCTCTCCTTTTTCTCCAGGTAGGGATCTTCCCCATGCAGCTCTCTCCAAGCATGTTCCAACTGAGGCTGTGTGCCCAGGTGACCCAGTGAACACAGGTGGGAGTCTGAGCCCTTCTTGCAACTCCTCCCTTTTGCTCCAGCCAATGTCTGCCACTTCCCTGCAGAGAGCTAACCCTGTTCACGGGGCTGATGTTTTGCTCCAGAGTCAGCTCTTTCTCTTGGCCTGCCCTCTTTCTGTCTGTGGTAAGAGATTGCTTTGGGGCCTGGCAATCCTGAGGACAGTGAGAGCACCTGTTGTTTGCCATAGGGCCATCTCTTTGAAGAAGCTGTCCTGCCAAGAAGAGGGAGTGTCCCAGGCCAGTGAGCTCAGGCAAGAGCCTCCTTGCCCCAACCCTCTCTGCATTCAGGAATCCAGCATGAGGGCCGAGTACTATGCTGTTCCTCACAACAGCCTTGCAAGGCAGGTATCACCCCCATTCTGCAGATGAGTAAACTGAGCGTTGGGTCTTTTAAGCAGTGGAGCTGGGACTTGACCCCAGGTTTACCACAAGTCCAGTGGTCATCCCCTTCTATTCTAGGAGGTACCCTAGCCTGATAGAAAATGAAGAATAACTAAGCCAGGGGCGTAATCTCCTCAGCTTGCTACAAGGTAAGAGATGTTCTGGGGTTTCTAGAAAAGCTGAGGAACAAAGCTGCATCTCTTGCTTTTCTGCAACCATTTCTAGAAAACCTCATGGCATAGGGAGTGGGGGTGGGGGACTCTGGTATCCTGGACAGTAAATTTCCTATGTAGAAAAGATTTTGGGGCTTTTTTAAAAAACTTATGTTAAAATTTGTCTTTGAAAAGTAATAATTTAATGTTTATATTTAATACATAACATAATTTCATCTTTAGAATCAATATTCCATTTCAGATGCAAAGTTTAAACATTTTTTATGCTTTTAAATTCAGCTTACAAATTTTATTCTATTTTATAAGTCTAGCAGATCATGGCAGTAACTATGCAGGAGGGTTTGAATAATGCTTGCTCTTATTTACAAGCATAGCTCAGCACTTCAGACATTTTTAAACAAATTTAGAAATTTAATATGTTTATTTTGTAACTACTTTGGTTGTTCTGACCACAAGCAAAATCATCCCAAATTTTAAACTCTTATAGAAGCTAATAAATTTAGCTTAAAAGAGAAATCTAAGTCCTCTTCAATGTTTTTATACTGTACCTAAACTTAGATGTCACCATTTAAAAAATCACAAGTCTAAATTAATTCTCAATTATACATTTTAAAGTGGAGTTGTAAAACTGCACTCTGATGGGTTTTATTCTCTTCAATATCACATTCTGAAACACCAAATAGGCACATATTCCTTCCTAACATAAAATATTAATGCTATAGTTTTGTTTCTTTTAAATATTTCTACCCTTAAATCTAAACTTTCCTGAAGTGTTGGTGAGCTATTGTCTCTCAGTTTCGAGCCTTTTCCTTTTTGTGTGTTGCTGTGGCTGGGATTCTGCAAACCACCTTGCTGCTTTGTCAGCTGGGTCCCTGGTAGGTTCTGCTAATGGAGGGCACTAGAGGGAGCCTGGGGTACTGGTGGAGGGAGAAGAATTGGACTCATCCTGTTTTTGTCCACATTACCTGGCACAGACAGCTGGGTGCAGCAGCAGTGTTGAGTTACTGTTCGCAGTTTATCCACATTCCCAGAACCAGCCTCAACATCTCCCCTTAAGAGATGCAAGCACTGTCCAGCCTGGGACCCGTCCTCAGAATTCTGAAGCCCTCTGGGGCTCCTCCTCTAATTTTTTAAATTTCAATAACCCCTAACACTTCTTTTTGTTTCCCCAGTTCTAAGGGTGGTAGTTGCTTCTTGTAGTTACCACCTCTGTGATTCCTCTGGGTCCCCTCTTTGCCATTTTATTTGTCCAATTTCTGATTAATAATTCATATATTAAATTATCTCTGTTAAAATAATTGATGTGGCCTTTGTCCTCTGACTAGCCCTGACTGATGAACCAGGGTTGAAAAAATACCCACTAAAGAAGATAATAACCATTCCAGGTAACCAAGGCAAATCGCTACCAGAAATTTCCTTTGGGTGTGAGACCCAGATCTGCAGACATTGAGTGGATTCTTCTCCCCACACCTAAGAAAACCATATCACTTCCAGTAATTTTGGTGGTTGCTTCTCAGCATTCTTGAGTTTATAGGTGGAGCATACTCGATTCTTGTCTGAGTCCCTAAGAGACACTGGGTCCCATTTGTGGTTGCTTAGTCAGTGACTTCATAGCTTAAAAGAAGTGACCTCGGGGCCCTTGTTCCTGTATCGTACAATTGCCTAGTTCTTCAGTTATCTTCAGCAGTATGCGTTTCTCACTAAGTCACTCATTAGATTGGCTTTTCATTTCCT